ACGAACCAAGCACCTATTAAAGGAGAATCTGTGGGTTTCTTTCTACATAGCATTTCACACTGTGTCAGCCTGTGTGTGTGTGAGTGAGAGAAGAAGAATGGAGGAGTCAAGGAAAAAAATTGTTGGTCTTGTGGAAAACGCAGAAGCAGCTGCCAACTCCATGCGTCGTGATGAACTGCTCTTTTCTTACAAGGGAATTCTCTACCCTACCACTGTTTGCAGTCCTGAAAGTTTCAAAGCCTTGGAGTCCTTTGAAGCCAGAAGGGATGATGTAATTTTGGCAGGATACCCTAAATCCGGTGAATATATTTTAATTCTTTTTATAAACAAGTTCCTGCAATAGCAAGTCACAAGGTTTATGCTAACTATATGCAATATATAAGATATGATACATATATTATGCTAAATAATTCCATTTAGAATGTTCACAAAATTTTGTAAAACGGATTTCATTCTCAAAAAGCACAATAAATGAATCCTGAATATTTGATATGGGAAATTTTCCATTAGACTGTGTAAAACATTCTGATTTTCTTTTCTATAGCATCAAATGGTTTTTGTTGATTTTACTTTTCATAGTTATGAAGTTAAATGCACAAATTGGAGAGAATCAAAACACAGTTTTATACACCAGAGGTAACTAGATCTCCTGATATTATGCAATCTGCTCCCACATGTATGTTTGTAAAGTTAAGAGCTTTATGTTTTGACAATGGAGCCTTCGGTACCTTCAAATGGTACCTTCAATATTCTTTAGTTTAAAGTGGTGTCACAAAATAGCTTACAAAAACATTTTTGTAGTCCTTGAAGTGATTACATTGTTTTTTAAGTATTATTTAAGGAAAATCAAGAGGACATCTTTCCTAGGGTTGCAAGTTTACCCTACGTATTTTCTCAATGGGCCTCAAAGCATTGGTCCACATAAAAGCCAAAGGTTTGGATCAGATCTGCCTCATATATGCTTTAATCTTGCTGTTTCTCTCTTACAGCAATTGGTTCACACTGCTTTACAGTGGATAGTCACAGCTGAGAGGATTGTAAAGTTTTTGCTATTTCATTGTATTTTCTTTTTGAAGAAATGTTATGCACTGGAATGCACTAGATAAGATTGCAAGTGAGAAAGATGTAGGCATCCAGCGTCCAGAAATCAGGACATGGTAAATCAGAGATGGGAGATATATGCAGGCTCTTTGTTATCTTTTGAAGAAAAAGATAATAAGTGTGTCTAGGAAATGTCACTTCAGAGAAAATTTTCTGGCTGCTAAAGAAAATTTGTGCACAATTTTTTGATCTAGCTTTGCTCCAATATTGAAGTACTGTGATCAATCCTTCTTACAAAGATATGTCCAGCTCACCAGAAAACACTTAATACATTAGGTTTTTTAAGTACAAGTTTACCACCCCAGTCTCCTTTACATTTGTCACAACAAAATTTATTACATGCAGGTTTTCCTAGTTGAATGTCAATGGTTCTTCTCCCTGATTAGTCAGTTTACAGTATACAAATTACTTTATGGTGTACTGAAGTGTTCAAGTTGGAGAAATACCTCCTTACGAGGAGCAAAGGTAGGATCCTGGGTGGTGATTGATCAGACAGTCAGCTGTGATTGTATGACATGAAAGGAGACCAGGTAACTCACCTGGTAGTACTAGCACCTCTTGAGTTTCCTGGTAAATCCATTTCTGTCCATTCTAAAAGTTTTACAACCACTTCTATGCTTTTCTACTTTCAGGCACAAACTGGCTAAGTCAAATCTTAACTGACCTGATAGCCATATCTCAAAAGAAAACACCAGGTAGTGAAAGCAGTGTGAATGCTGAAGAACGAGCAGAATTCCCCTACCTTGAAGTTGGAGATGCTGGGAAATATGAGGTGGGAACAGAATATGTATGGAAAAGATCAACATTATGTGCTTCAAATACTGAATATATGATATATGAACTATTCCATTGTTTGATGAGATATTTACCATTTCTATTTATGTGGCATCTGGTCAGGAGTAATTTACCCTGGACTGTCAAATACTGAACACATACAAATAAATAAACACTTCATTGGAACTGAAAGAAGCAAATACCCATGAGATACATAAGAACTTTAGAAATTCAACACAGCATCTTTTGTATTTAAGAAGAGCTTCAGGAAGTGTCAAATCATGTAATATTAGCATTTGTCTCTTTTACTAGCTCTTCCTCCTCACCCCTTGTCTGAGTCTTAAGAGATGCCTCAGCATTCCTGGGTTGCTAATCTGTACCTCACCTCTATATTTGATCCTTTGTATAACAGAACAGAAGAGAATTATCACTGAAGAGAACTAGCAATGGATAGTCCTTCTTCCAATTGCTCATGGGATTTTGAACATTAGAGCTACTCAGAGTAGCCCACTAATATCCCAGGAAAACACTCACTAAAAACCCAAAAAACCACTTCAATCAGCCAATAATTGTACATAAGTTTTTCAAGGCCACATTTTAGCATAGGTTAATGAAAAGAATATTTGTACTAACTGAACTGTCCACTTTCCCTCATCCAATTCATCAAGAGAATGACCAAATTACGTTCTCCAAGATTTATGGTTACTCATCTCCGTCCTGAAAATCTTCCCAAATCTATCTTCCAAAGCAATGCCAAGGTGAGTGCTGATTTTAATGTATTAAAGCAAACAATTAACGAAATTTCTTATTTTTTTTAAAGAGCCAGTGTAGTACTTGCCAATTTTCAGAATCATTCTTTTTTACTTATGCGTTAAGCCTGGCCATTTCTACATCTTTAAGGCTCTATATGTTTAAGAATTGCCATTCACCTCACCTAACCACAGTTTGCCCTTATTGGCTTCTTTGTGACAGTTTCCACAAGAGAGTTACAGGGTTTGAACAAATCCTCCAGAGGCAACATGGATTTTGACGGGATTTCCTGTGGGAGGAATTTTATGGCATTGTTGCAAGTGAGGGCTTCAATGTGTCAAATTTCCATGAGAATTTATATTTTTGTGAATTTTCCCTGTCACTTAAATGATGAGCTATGCTTGTATTGAGAAAAAGATACCTAGATGCTGCATAAATGATTTGGTTTATCTGTAAAAGATAGTAATTCTAGGCAACCATCTTCTTATGGTAACAAAGTAAATACGGCACCTTCTGAATTGGGAATGAAATTGCTACTTCTGCAAAGAGCACACAAGGTAGCAGAAATCCCCAACTGCAATTATAAAGTATATTATTGTTATTTCTTTTTTTATGCTGTAGTCTGCTCTGTCTTTCTCTATAAATAATTAATTCAATTTTTCTCTAGATATTTTTACTGATTCGTAATCCAAAAGATGTTGCTACATCTTATTACCATTATTCCAATGGTTTGGCACTTCTTCCCTCCTATGAGACCTGGGATGATTTCTTCACAGATTTCATGACAAAGAAAAGTAAAGTATATTTTTTTGTCTGTTTCAATTGTACAATGATTTCTTGTTGTGTAAAAACCTTTGTTCTTTGGTAAATCAGCTTCTCTAGGAATTTTTCGTTTACAGTACAAACCAGAGATTAATGACAGAGAATTAGAAATTTTCCATCCTTTCTTACTGCTTGAGGATAAATATTCTTTAAAAGTGCACTTCTACAGGATTTTAAAATTTGTACAAACTGGTATTTTTCCTGGAAGAGGCAGTTCTTCCTTATCTCTATCTTCGGTTCCCTTGACCTCTTGCTCTCCCATATCCAACATCATGTGCCCATGGTGATATATAATCACCTCAATGGCAAATTGGATTAAAGGAATTACTTGGACTAAGTCTAGTGCACTAAAAAGGGGACGAATTCTAATGGATTAAAAAAGAGAAAAGGTGATAGCACTGGTTTATAGTTATGAATTTTGGGTACCACATGATCAGCAGAAAGGGGTGTTCAACAAGGTTTTAGACTGGATTAAGGCAGTCTTACAAGATGGTTGGCAAGATGATAACTTTTTTGGTGAACTCAAAGCTATCTTGAAATACAACCAAGTTTTATTTTTCTGACTTACAAATAATATCTTATGCCTGAGTCTCGAGCACAACCTACAATTCCCACCAAACGGTGTAAACTCTGCCATAGACATGATTAATAACACCCTTTCCTGACTAAACTTAATGAGCAAATCTTGCATAATCATAATTTATGCTTTATCTTAGATGCATTTTGTTTTATTTAGTGGCCTGGGGATGCTATTTTGAATACCTCTCTGAATGGAACAAATATGCTGACAAAGAAAATATTATGACAATAACTTATGAAGAGATGAAAGAGGTAAGGTTATCAATAGTTACAAATACTTTATACTTGAAGGGACATTTTTTTCCTGAATCAATACACCATTACAGATGCAGGGTATCCAAGGTGTGTAAGACAGATTCAAGTTTTAAGAATCTGTTTTAAGGGAAGAAGTGGTGAAATTCAAATTTAAAATTTAAATTTTTCTCTTAAAATTTTGCTTGTGAAAATGATTCTTTTTCATTTATCTGTAAGTCTGCATATGGCATTCAATACCGTGGTTTAGTTGAGGTGTTAGAGCATGGGTTGGATTCGATGATCTCTAACGTGTCTTCAAACCCAGTCATTCTGTGAATTCTGTAATATAAGCCCAAATAATTTAAAACCATAATCAACAGTAATCCATCTTTGAGAAGGAGCTCTTGTGTTTTCAGCAGGGTATATTTTACACAACTGTAAATCATATATAATATTTTGTAATCTATAGGAAGGCAGCTCATGTCTCTTCCAAAATAATTAAGGAAAAGAGAAACAATATGACCCACCCTAGTCCTAGAGAACTCTGTGAATACCCTATGTATGCAGCCAGCAGAGAGATACAGGGAAGTGCAAACACCTTGGAAAGCAGAGTCATTTGTTTGAAAGTCATGCCATATGTTACCTTCCTCTTTCCAGAATCCTGCCCTGCGTGTGAAAAACATAGCCACGTTTTTTGGAATTCCCCTGAATGAGGACCAGCTCCATTTGGTACTAGACAGGAGCAGCTTCCAGTCCATGAAGAAAAACTCAGACAAGACCCATGGTTCAGCTGGCAATATTCTCTTTCGCAAAGGTAGGAAGCTCCAAGGGGCTCAGAGGTAGAAATGTGCCACTCTCAAGGACTTGGGTCATCCTTTGGTTCCTTTTCCTGTACCTTACAATTCTAATGTGAGGTTCCTTCCTCACATTAGAATTGTAAGGTAGTGTCAAGCAGGGGATCACTGCTTTGCTTGAGAAGACTATCCAAGGAGAACTGGTGAGGAAGATGCACAGCAAGGCTCTCACAGCAGAGCCATTCCTGGCTGCTCACAGNCTTCCTTCCGCCACTTCCTTCCTTCCTTCTGCCACTTCTTTCTGCCACTTCCTTCCTTCTGCCACTTCCTTACGCCATTTCCGCCAATTCCTTCCAGATGAATACTCAGAGCAGTTTTAAGGCACTTTCTTGAATAGATCAATTTTAATGGAACTATTTAAAAACTAAGTAGATTATTTGAAAGGACTAATTTATGGAAGCCTTCTGCAGAGTTTTATTGAGATAAATGCAGATCATAGAAATAATTATAAAAACATACCCCTTCTTATTTAGCACTTGGGAGCACATGTTTTGAAGCTCTCATTCTTTGAAGCTGTTTCATTTAACAGGGAATGGATCTGCATGGGCAGAATTGTGCACTATGTAAGGGCCAGCTGGCAGTGTCCTGTAGCTGTCACAGAAATGTCTCCAGCCTCCTTCTGCAAAGCTCCAGAATCGGGTCTGTCAGTGTGGGAAGTCAGATACCTTCAGAGTAACGGTGGTGGCTTGAACTACAAATACCATTAATCTGGAGAGAATCAAATATTTTAATCTGTTTTTGATCATTATATGTTTTAAAGCTGCTTCTTATAAATTTTGAATCAAGTGGTGCTTCTTTGTCAGTCTCTGGATTCACTATTTAGCAGGCTCAGAGGGTCTTGTACCACATGCGTGGGGCTAGGCACTTCTCCTCCTGTCTCTCACCTCAGGTGTCATGAGCGATGTCTGTATCAAAGGCTCACTTTAAGAAATCTTGATCCTGCTNACCCAAGGGGTTGATTATTCACCAGGGCTGTGATTTACCCTCAGCTGGCAACTCCCAGCTCAACTCAGTGGCCCCACAGGGCCACTCGCTCTTTCGCCTGCAATGGGATGGGGGAGGGAAACAGAGTGAGAGGAGTCATGGTTGAAATAAAGACAATTAAATACCTAAAGCAAGAGCTATGTGTGCAAGAAAAACAAAGTAAGGAATTCGTTTTATACTACTGGCAGTCAAATGTTCAGCTGTGTCCAGGGCTCCATCACCCATGACAGTGACATGGTAAGACAAGTGCCTTAGCTCTCAGCATCTCTCTTTCCTTCTTCTTCCCTCACATTTTATTGCTGAGCATGACTCCATGTGGGATAGAATAATCCTTGGATCAGTTGGGGTCAGGTGTCCCATCTGTGTCCCCTTTTAATTTCCTGTGCACTTTCAAGATACTCTCTGGCAGCTCAGTGTGAGAATCAGAGGAGGCCCTGACACTGTGTAATTACTGCCTAGAAATGACTAAAACATCCCTTTGTTACCAACATTGTTTTCAGCACAAATTGTACACATAGCTTCATACCAGCTACTATGGGGAAAATTAATTCCATTGCTGTGAAAATCAGCGCACACTCTTGTTAAAGGGGTAAAGTACAACATTGAGCCAAACTGATTCACTTGAAAACAGTTAGACAAGACTTATATCTGCCAGGTGTACATGAAAAAGTGAAGTGGAATGGATGTCCTACTGGTGTCTTGATCATTTCAGGAACCAATTGGCTTGTACAAATGGTGAAGGAGTTGGCAGATGCCAAATATACAGAAGAGGAAATGAAAGAGAGAATAAATGCTGAAAAGAAGCTAGAGACATTTCAGCATCTTAAATTTAGGGATCCTGAGATATATGAGATAAGCAGGGAAATTCTTGGTGGAAGAAAGAGTAAGGTATGCTTGTGTTGATAATCTATAGTGGAGTAATCTGATATTATGACAAGTTTTGACCTGTTCAGGAAAAGTGACCAGCATGAAAGAGACTCTACTATTCTGGAGGAAAAGAAAAGGTGAAGGAGGATCCCAGACAAGTTTACAGCACATTAGCTCTCTGGCGGAAAGGGTCTTTTAGAGAAGTTGAGAAAATCCACCCTGATCTGGTACTGAGGATTAGTTATTTTTCATCTCCGTTTCAGTACCATCTATATTGTAAAGGCAACATTAGTAGTATCATNTCCACCTCTGTGCCTGGATCACCAAGTGCCCAGCCTTTGGAGCTGGCAGCACTGGGCCAAACTCAGCCTGAGTGGAGTGACCACACTTTGTAGGAGAGCATGGGAATCTTCTGAGATGGGCACTGCCAAATTCCTGATCACTCTTACACATTAGAAGTAAGCCAAGCTAGCAAGAATCCAGGTGGACACACAAGAGAGTGAAGTGAAGGGAGTAACGTTTGCAGTGCAGTGTGGGGGACATGGACATGAGGAGGGCATCTGGGTCGTCAGAATCTATTTCTGCATTTTACATTAAAGTAATAACTGGATAAAAAGTAAAGCTGCCAAAGGTGCAGAAAGTCAGCTCTGCCTCCTGGCAGATGATTCTTAATTAATTCTTCATGACCTTACACTTTTCCAGTCATAGAGGAGAGTGATGGAGGTAAACAGAATTTTAGGCTGACTTTTTGAATGGTCAACTTAAGAGGAGTTTGTTCTTTTGCATTATAGCAAAAGATGACTCACATATATATGTAAGTCCACTGACTGCACAAAATTTTATTGATGTAGAAAAATATTTCATCTGGAAAATGGCTCAAGCAGTTTTTGTGTACAATGCAATAAATATGACAGCTGAATAGAAAAAAAAAGAAATTTCTTGGTTTTTCTAAGTCTGTTCCTGCTTCTTTGAAGGTGGTGTAAGTGACTGGAAGAATCTTTTCACTGAAGATCAGAATGAGAAAATGGACAAAGCATTTGAAGAACATATAGCAGGAACGAAACTTGGGAAAAAGTTGAAGTATGACTTGTACTGCAAAGCCTGAAGAGAAATGAAATGTGGTTAGAGCAAGAACTTTGCAAGGCAGACTCAGATTATCTGAATGCTATATACTGGAAAACTAGATTAAATGATCCAAGTATCTTAGAATTACTGTCATGCTGCAGCCTTTACAGTGACACTGATGAGTGATGAGCGTTTTGTTTTGTGGTGAGATCTTTGGCTACACCCATTTGCTGAAGATGTCAAGTAATCCTATTTACAAATACTCAACAGCCCTGTTCCAGCTTTCACCAGGAAGGAAATGCCTCTATTCTTTCTAGACAAATTCTGTCTCTGTCGCCAATTTCTAATTATTTAGTATGCAGATTATTTTTTCTTAAAAAATGTTTCAATTCAGTCACCATCTTCACAGAAAATATCTGATATATGGGTAGTGAAGGAGACCCATACTGTATTCAAGGGCATGAAAGAGAGTGAAAGGGCCCCCAAAACAGGGTAATTCACCTTCCTGTATTGCCTGTTCTCAGTAGGGATGACCAATGGAAATATCTATTTCAACATCTCACCACTCCTTACCTTCTAAAATAGTGTACACCAGAATACAAATAACAGTCCCAGAAAGAACAATTTCACCCAGAGACTAAATTATGGGGAAGAGGGGAGACAAATGAAACTGAAGTACAACAAGTAGAATTTGATTCACACTATTGCACTAAAACTTCACATGCATGTGACCCTCCTGTCAGATTTAATGACAAAAAATTCTCAGATGTGAGTATTTCATCCTGAGAAATCTGGTTTGGGTGATACCTGTCCTCAGGTCTGNGAAATATGAGGTGGGAAGAGAGTATGTATGGAAATGAACAACATTATGTGCTTCAAATACTGAATATATGAAGTATGATCTATTCTACTGTTTCATATGAACTTTACCACTCCTCTTTATGTGGCATCTGGTCAGGATTAATTTACCCTGAGCTGTCAAATACTGAACACATACAAATAAAGAGACACTTCATTGGGGCTGAGAGGAGAACATACCATGAGATACATATAAACTTCAGAAATTCAACATAGCATCTTTTGTATTTAAGAAGAGCTTCATGAAGATCACCAAGTGCCCAGCCTTTGGAGCTGGCAGCACTGGGCCAAACTCAGCCTGAGTGGAATGGCCACTCTTTGTAGGAGAGTATGGGAATCTTCTGAGATGGCCACTGCCAAATGACTGTTCACTCTTACACACTAGAACTAAGCCAAGCAAGCAAGAATTTTGTAATATTAGCATTTGTCTCTTTCACTAGATCTTCCTCCTCCTCCTCCCCTCTCTCAGTCCTTGAGAGGCTTCAGCTTTCACAGAGAGCTAATCTGTACCCCACCTCTAGATTTGATCCCTTGTCTACCAGACCTGAAGAGAGTTATCACTGAAGAGAAAAAACAATGGATAGTCCTTTTTCCAGTTGTTCATGGGGTTTTGAAGATTAGTGCTACTCAGAGCAGCCCACTAATATCCCAGGAAAACACTCACTAAAAACCCAAAAAAAACCACTTCAATCAGCTAATAAGTGTAGATAAGTTCATCAAGGCCACATTTTAGCATAGGTAATGAAAAGAATACTTGTACTAACTGAACTGTCCACTTTCTTCCTTCCAATTCTTCAAGCGAATGACCAAATTACCTTCTCCAAGATTAATGGTTACTCATCTCCGTCCTGAAAATCTTCCCAAATCTATCTTCCAAAGCAATGCCAAGGTAAGTGCTGATTTTAATGTATTAAAGCAAACAATTGAATGGATTAATTTTTTTTAAATAAAGAGCCAACATAATACTTTTCTGGCAATTCTCAGAATCACTCTTGCACTTAAGCATTTAGCCTGGCCATTTCTATGTGTTTAAGGCTCTACATATTTAAGAACTACCATTAACCTCACCTAACCACAGTTTGCCCTTATTTGCCTCTTTGTGACAGGTTCCACAAGAGAGTTACAGGGTTTGAACAAATCCTCCAGAGGCAAAATGGATTTTGACGGAATTTCCTGTGGGAGGAATTTTATGGCATTTTTGCAAGCAAGGGCTTCAATGTGTCAAATTTCCATGAGAATTTATATTTTTGTGAATTTTCCCTGCCACTTAAATGATGAACTATGCTTGTATTGAGCAAAACATACTTAGATTCTGAATAAATAATTTGGTTAATCTGTAAAAGGTAATAATTCTAGGCAACCATCTTCTTATGGTACCAAAGCAAAGTTAAATACTGCACCTTCTGAATTGGGAATGAAATTGCTACTTCTGCAAGGAGCACACAAGGTATTAGAAATTCCCAACTGCAGTTATAAAGTATATTATTGTTATTACTTTTTTTTTAAATGCTGTACTCTTCTACGTCGTTCCCTAATAAATAATATTTTATTTTTTTTCTAGATATTGTTACTGATTCGGAATCCAAAAGATGTTGCTACATCTTATTTCCATTTTTCCAATGGCTTGGCATTTCTTCCCTCCTATGAGACCTGGGATGATTTCTTCACAGATTTCATGACAAAGAAAAGTACAGTATATGTTTCTGTCTATGTCAATTGTCCAATGATTTGTCTTTGTCCAAAAAAATTTTTTCTTGGATAAATCAGGTTCACTAGGATTTTTTGGTTTACAATACCAAAGTGAGAGAGAGATTAAAGACAGAGAATTAGAATTCTGAACTGAAGTTTAGCTTACTGGTCTTCCTGCTTGAGGCTACTATTTAATAAAACTACGATTCCAGAGACTTCTTGAATTTGTACATACTGGTATTTCTCCTGGAAAAAGCAGCTCTTTCTGAACTCTACCTTGGGTCCCCTTTTCCCCTGTCCAACATCATGTGTCCATGGCGACATATAATCACCTCCATGCCAAATTGGACAAAAGGAATTATTTGGACTAAGTCTAGTGCATTAAAATGGGGACTAATTCTAATGCATTGCAAAAGAGAAAAAGTGATAGCACTGCTTTAAGTTTATGAGTGCGGCATAGCTCATTGCCAGCAGAAGAGAAGGTTCAAGAAGGTCTTAGACTAGATTAAGGGAGTTTTACAACATGCTAGGCAAGATGATAGATTTTTTGGTGAACTCAGAATTGTCTTTAAAAGCTTACAAATTTTATTTCCTGACTTACAAAAGGTATCATATGTTTGGGCCTGAAGTGAAATCTGTATATCCTACAGAAGTGTGTAAACCCTACCTTAGACATGATTATTAAAGTTCTTTGCAAACCCAACATAATCAGCAAAACCTGTATAATCTTAATTTATGCTTCATCTTAGAATTCTTTGTTTTATTTAGTGGCCTGGGGATGCTACCTTGAATACCTTTCTGAATGGAACAAATATGCTGACAAAGAAAATATTATGACAATTACTTATGAAGAAGTAAAAGAGGTAAGGTTGTCAATAGTTACAACTACTTTATACTTGAAGGGGCGTTTTATTCCTGAACCAATACACCCTTATATGTATCCAGGGTATCCAAGTTGGGTGTGAAAATTTTTTGTTTTAGGTGATGAAAAGGTGAAATTCAAACTTTAAAACCTTTGTAATATTTTGCTTGTGAAAATGATTGTTGTTTTTTATTTATCTGTGATATAAGCCCAAATAATTATAAATCTCAATTGTCAGTAATATTTTTGGGGAGGAGCTTAAATATTTTCAGCAGTGTAGATTTTGCTCACCTGTAAATCATATATAATATTTTGTAATCTACAGGAAGGCAGCTCATGTCTCCTGCAAAATAATTATGGAGAAGAGGAACACTTTGGGTCACCCTAGTCCTAGAGAACTCTGTGAATACCCTATG